AGTTGTCTCGCGCCTTCAAACTGCAATTACCGTACTCGACAGACCAATCGATAGGGCAGCATATTTTACGTTGACTGCTTTCCTTTTTTGATAAGTCTTGATTGTTTTTTTCTCTTTCTTTTGTTTTCATGTTCTCATTGGGATTGAAGAAAGTGGCCAGCAAATGTAAGTGATTAGAGGACTCCCAAACCCGCAGTTAGCGCTCTCATCTTTCAGGACATTTCTGCGGTGCGCGGCGGGTGCGGCAAGCGCGCGCGACGCGGTGCTCGGAGAGAGGATACCGGACTCATGGAGAACTCAGAAGCTGCAGTAACGAGGCAACTCGTCCGAATCGATTACAAGAAACTAGTTCAACTGAATGTCTTCCCCCGACACAGGTATCAGAAAAAAATTGAAATTCGCAAACCACTAAAATTGAACGTTCATGGAAATGGGGTTATTTCTCGTAGAGTTTATTATTTTCCTGTTTCACTGACTGAATCTTCTCTTCAGTCGTACCTTTGCTTAAACCAGTCGTTGTTACACACATTAAAAAAATTCATCTGGTGGAACGATTCACAACGAAAACATAAAGAATGGACAAATTCAGTGGAAAAAAATCTATGAGCGTTTTCCTAGCGAAGAGAGAGGCCAAAACTGTGAAAAGACTTTTACACCACACCTTTTTAGACCCTTCCTTCCTACTCTGACAGCACAGTAAGTAGGTGAAGCCCGGCATTTTTGGTTCATTCGCCCGCTATGTATTTCTTTGTGGCAGCCAGATGACCTTGAGAATCACTGCACTTTCATTATGAAGGAGATTCTAATCAAAAAAGGGTCAACACAGCTATGGGCCGATCCAGCTCACCGCTTTTTTTGTTGGTATCAGGAAGAGGGAGCCTAAGGTTAGTATTCGAGGCGTCTGAACGTACTCACATACTCTGCCAACGGTATCGCTTTCAGAATCCAATGGAGAGGAATCCTTGTTTGACAGACACTCACCCCACTAACAACACCTGAATAGTTGCAAAGGTCCTGCAAGGACTGCATGCTTAAAGGCACAGTTCGCGATAATTCAACGGGGCGGGAATGTCAATGACGTGTCCGCCTCTAATTCGATGTCATGTCAGACTGTCTGACGTGACATCGAATTAGAGGTGGACGCGTCATTGACACACCCGCCCATTGAATTATCGCGAACTGTGCCTTTAAGCACCCTGTATGAGATTTGAGAAAAAAAAATTACGGCAAGAGCAGGAGCTCAGTCCACTCAAAAATGTCGACAGCTTTTCGCTAGGAGTAGTATCGCTGGCTTGGTTGAAGCACACCTTTTTCGAGAAGGTTTCATCCTTGACTTTCTGTAGGGGCAAGGAGTAGCAGCTCGAGAGGGCAAAAACTGAAGTCGACGTTTATACATCTCGCCACGATGGTGGAATTTTCGGTGTAAAACAACGGATGCAGTTCTTCAATACCATTTCATAGTTGTTAGAAGGGAATATGATGTGTAAAAGAACCAGGTTTGTGCAGAAGCGAAATCCTATTCATGCTATCCAACCCGACAGATTTTCCAAATTACTCTGTTTATTATTCCTGTATACTTTTTAAAGAGAAGTTTCTAGTTCACTATATATTTGAAAACCATGTTACACAATTTCTTGAGAACGAGTGCTCTTTCACCGAGGAACATCCTCGAAAACATTCTCCATTAGAAAGTTTTCTGGAATTTTCAACGTTGACTTGGAAAAGCAAACCCGCGGAATATACGGAGCACCACAATATAGTAGAGGTGGTTGCGCAACAGTAGATATTCAACATTTTGTGTTGGAGTAGAAACTCAATTGTGAATCGATGCCGGTTATCGGTATCGGCTATATACCTAGTTAGCAGGGCGTGTGGCTAGTGCGACATGTGTGAACGGTAATAGGGCTCGAATAAACGGCATACTGTTATACGATTACAAGTAATTTGGTGCTGATGATTCCATACAACGTAGTGACTTCTTTAGATATTGGGTATGTTAAATAGTATAAAATATTAACGGGAATTACAACTGGTATTCTGGATTTGTAACAAAGGTGTAGGTAAGGTTTTGAGAGCAATGTCCTTCAACGCCTAGCTTCCATAACATTAATTAGGTGAGCTCTCATACTGAGCCTCTCCCAAACGAGTCTGATGCCAACTAACCGAACCCGTACAGATGGAAGACCTGGTTGGTCCAAGTGGATACCGATCCGGGTTCCGAACCCGTGAGCATGCGTTTGTGAAGTGTGCCACTTGCCGCTACACCACCTCCAAGTTAAAGTGCTATATATTTTTGTGGTCTTAGGAATCTTTCCCAAGTTCAGCTATCAGTTCTTTACGATTTCACTGAAAAAAACTGATGACACCACTGTTGCTTGGAATTTCCCGATGAAAAGTGATGTAGCCTAAATAAAAATGGAAGAATAGAACTAAAAGAGTGAAACATCTCAGAAAAAGGTAGAATCTCAACTCCAAGTTCGACAAATACACCTTTGTTAGGTCTGAGTACTTGAGAGTCACTGTAGAGTTCCCCGATTTTATGAAATCGCCATGTGACCGTTCACAAAAGACTTTTTCAACTGTACTTAAGTACCGTAGAAGTAATTGGATGAAAACAGTCAGTGCAAAGGATTATGTGCTGTCAGCTGACAACTTTGATTTATAAGGTACTGATAGGAAATCGATCTCGTCGAAATTAATCTCGTTGGCCCTACAAACAAGTTTACGTGTGGTCTGAAAACTGTCACATCCTATTACTCTACACACTAACTAGTTATACTTGTTTCTGGGACTCAACATAGTGACCCTGAAAAACGATTAACAGCAATCGTCATTACTATTTTAGTTTACTAAGAGGTACGGCTACCCTCTGAGGGCCTTCTAAAGGCACAGCTTCCTTACTAGTTTTGAGTAATACCATACCATTTGGAAGAGTCCACTGCAGGGCAAAACTGGTTACTGGATGCACTTCACTTACCTCTTCTCAATAAATTACCATTCGGGTAGATGATTAGAACATGATCAGCTTCAAATTTCAAATCCTGTATTTCGTCGTGACTCTTCGAACTACTTCCTGACCCTGGTTTTTCGAAGTTTCTCCTAATTTGTACTGGTTAGCCATCAGTAACTGCGCAGTCTTTGTCTAAAGGGCGGCTGTAGGAAAGGCAGTAATTTTGACTCCAGCGCTGCGTTTTATAAAATAACCACTGAGCTAAGATTTGCGAGCCATATATTTTCCCTGAGAATTCAGTTGGGGAAGGAGGAGGGAGGGGGGGTTAAAGGAGGCACCTCTAATCTCTGATTCTGAGCGCCAGAGCGTTTAGAAAAAAGGATAGCTGTCTTTCCTGGCCCGTGATCATGCTACTTAACGGGAAAAGCATGCAAACACGCCCGAATGTTCGATTCCTTCCTCCTTCCCATTTTTTTGCACAACGGGTTCATCTCAACCACCTCTGTGCTCCTCCCTTCCTAGGGTTTTGTAAGAAAAACTATATTTCCTTGCTATAAAAAGTTTCTAAGTACGATTATAGGCTCATCCTCTCCTTTTCTGTGGTCGAGCACCCACCCTTGCAAAAGTGTCCTATCCCAACCACATTTTCACACCCTGGAAATATTTTTTTGTACTCGGTAGCAGTGTCGTCCTTGTGAAGACGATCAGAATAACAATTTCTGAATTACTGTACAGTAAGTCTACTCACTTACAGTAACAACTTTAAAAAATCAAGTAGGAGAATTAACTCTCTTCGATAAGATTCGATTGATTCCCACGTGGTTAGAACCCAGTGCGGTATCGATTCCGCTCGTATAAAGATCACGACCCAGTGTACTCTCATCAACAACTACTAATGCAAATGGTTTCCAATACCAGTAAGGCTACTTGTTTTACCGGAAATGAACTACTTTGTAATCGTACTCCCACTCATTTACTCAGTGGGTGGTCGTAAAGGACAGAAATTTATGGGTCACTCAGAACCGGGTCCCCTCTTCACCAGTCCGAGTGCTATCGATCAGTTGTTGCCCTACGAATTCATGTCTATACGATCTTGTTCTTCCACGATATCGTCGACATTTACTTCGCTATTAGGTGGGCTCATATTGTTTTTATTGTGAAATTGTATATTTTTGTAATGAGACGTCTTGATACCCAATACTACTTGATAAAATATCTTCTTTTTGTGTTCCGCGATATCATTAAAAACCCAGCACATTTTCTGACTGTCGATTACTTACTTAGTTCTTGGTATTTCCTTGGTAGTACTGCCTCCAGGTCTTTCAGACATTGAGAACTGTTCAAAACCGGTTCTTTTACAGTTGTTATTGCATCTTTGTATCATGAAAGTAATACGGAAGTTGGAAAACAACGACATTTTCCCCGCACGGAACTATTTGGCCACGATGAGAAACGGGAAAAATTCTGCTGACAAATGTGAATTGTAGTTCTNTGGGATCAGCTTGGGTTGGCCACGGTTTTATTCGTATAAGCACCGAATGTGTGAGAGGACACTTCAGTAGACAGGGGCCCAAACAGTTAAAACCCAGTCAGAGCTGAAAAAATAGGTCCTCAATTGAGAAGTTCAAATTGGGAACTAAGAACGTTGGCAAAAACGAGTTCATCGACGAAGACACTGGTAGTGCACTCCACAATCCTGCGTTTAGTACATGTCCTTGAAGGAAATGGGGTCTTACTAGTAATTTATACCGCATACGAGACTTCCTGTCACTGCCACTCGGCGCAGTTAAACCGGTTCCAAGCTACAAAACGACGAGACATGTTGGCATTACTAAATAGTCATTAGTAGGGACACCTGGCGAAGCCAAGGAGATAGGAAGTTGCATCGGTTTTGCGTAATCGATTCGCCGCACGCGGCAGTCGTCGTCTAGTTGCCTCGTTATTGAGTTCTAGCGTTCTTCGTACAGCTCGATCGATATGCGAGTATTATTTAGCACACTGTGATGCTTCAGCTTCATTCCGCTACATTGTGTCGCGTGCGATGTCGCTCTCACCGTGAAGCGACAATTTCGATCCAACCGAACCACACCCGCCGAAGCCTCCATACATACCCGGATACCTGTCCCAACTGATGGGTCTTTGCACCCAACAGCTTGCAGTCCAGTTGTCGAGCAACTCCAGGCAGCAACGCTGTCAACGAAGAGACCGACTGGGCTGCAAGTTGATTGATAGGAGTAAATAACTACAAACTAGGAGAAACTAGTACAGCGCGGGTCTCCAACTTGTCTTTTGTTGTAACCACGACACAATTGTTTACGATGGTTATGTTCTTGTACCATGCAGGTTTTTAATTGAAAGCATTCATTGATTTTAACAGCCAGCGTTCCCATTTTATCGCCCTCGTCACGGAAGAAAAGGGTTCCACCCCATTGGAACGGACATAAACCATTGCCGAACAGGCCATGGTAAGCAGTTGGTTTCACCTGAAAACCTTGCAAAACAGGAACATTATTACCATCACTAGCCTGTACTATTGAATTTGTGGGTGTTGTGATAGAAAAGTTAAAATAAAATAAGGGTGAAGCCTTTGGCGTTGATCGATCACGTTTTGGAACGCGCCCCACATTGCTTTCCATTCAGAATCGTAGTGGCGTATTGGATGCGTATGTGGCCTACACAATTACTTGCGCTGAGCATGTAAGCCAGTGGCTTTATCCTCCCAAACGAGTCTGGTATTAATTACCCGACTCCGGAGGTGTGAAAGGCTTGGTTGGCCGGGACGGATATCGAACCCGTGGCCGCGCGCGTGTGATAGTGCGACACTTGCCACTACACCACTGCCGTGACTGGAAGGAGATGTGATTATGCTCCTGCAAAAAATATTCGAATATTGAGCAACCTTCAAGCTGAGAATTCCCTAGCGTCTCTATTTTTTAATGATTTGTCCGATGTCATTCAAATCCTGTGTTCCAGGCGATCATCATACCTGTCCTCGGTATCGCTGGCGTCATGGTCTACGCAGATATAGCTTTTCCTTTAGTGACATACATTTTCGCCATGATTCTCAAGTAGGTCGAAAAACTTTCTTTGGATTCATTACCCCATTCTACTTACTTTTTTCTCGAATCTTTCTGAAGTACAGTAAAATGCTGTTTGTTTTTCAGCCTTACGTCGCAAAACAATCTTCGTATCCGAGTCAAATGCAATGCCGCTCCTACAAAATAGTTCCCATAGAAAATTTAGGTCATATTTGCATGTCTTGTAATAAATATTGTATTAAATATGTAATGTATGTAGGTATAATTGTGGCCGGGAATGGGCAGCCCATGTAGGACCACATGATAGCATTCCAAATGGCTGAGCGTAACTTACACTAACTTGCAAGTACTCTGTACTGCATCTGCTTAGAGCCCATCCTTTTGACGCAAAAGTCTTGTTTAAATCATTGTAACTCACTTTCAACATTCTGAAAGTGGAGTTTTAAATTTGAAAATGGAGAGGAAATTTGAAAAACCCTTGAAAGTTTTATTATATTGCATTAATAGCAGCTTTCACCATTTAATTTGACTTTACCTGGATACATTTGAAAAGGATAGCGTTATGCGGTGTCAATCGTTTCATTCTCGAGGTGCGCCACGCATTAGACTTCCAATCGAAATCGTAGTGGTGGTTTGGATGCGTATATAGCCTCCACAATGACTTGCAGTGATCAGCCACCTCCCTTTCGAGTCTTTTATCAGTTAACCAACCTCGAAGAAATGGAAGGATTGGCTTGCCTGGGCAGATATCGATTCAGGATAAATGTCCGGACCAAGCATGCGTCATATTGCTCCAGTTCTTCACCAGCTGGATACAAGTAATCGTTCGAGAAGTTTGAGTAATTCAAAGAACCTACACGTAGCGCTATCCAACCATTTGACTGAAACTGAAACCACTTCTTTTGAAACCACTTTCCAATTCCATGGTCCGTTGAGGTACCAATGAATTGGATTGCGTCACGAGGTTTCTGGTTTTATTTATCACCACAAATATTTATTGCCAAAAATATTATATCGAAATGATACAAAAATATTTTATAAATCTTTCATTCCATCATATTGGAACGGGGAAGATCATGTGTAAAGCATTTCTTCGTTGCCAACAGAACATCGATAGCATGCTCGTCAAGCAACTTTGCAAGCTCGTCGCTGTCGAAGATAAGGAATCTCAGATTCTGAAAAAATCTCCGGTTGCGCTTGTAGCCACATTGAATGAAAACATAAACAAGTCGGCATCAATCGATTACAATTGGAATGTTCGATCTAGTAAAGTTTCACTCAGAGTTGCTGAATTGTTTGTATTGGACACTTGACCTGAAGACTATCTTTAAGGATTAGTTACTACAGTACTCAATGAGTTTACCTTTCAACTCGAAAGCAATTACTTAATTATAGCGTTAGTTATTCTTATTAGTTAATGGAGCCTTGCCAACTCGGACTGCTTTGGAGCTTTCGATGAGCCAGCCAGGTTCTGGCATGCGAAATTTGCCACTTCAGGGGAATTATATTGACATTGTTGGTTATGAGGGGAGGGGAAATGCTCTTAAAACTGATAAGTCTGCGAAAGGTTTTGAAAATCAACCTTATAAGCACCAATGATGATCAAAATTACTGTTTTAAAACTAGAAAAATTGCTTTATTATAAACAGCCGGCTGAATTCTGCCGGTTGCAAAAAATAGAGGCGTAATGATGCGCACGGAACTTTTAAAGTTTAAATTTGAATCAAAATAGATTTTCGCGGGCTGGCTGTCCTTTAAAATGGTACTTTTTTAGAGGAACTCGAAAAGCTTACAGAGATATTATCGCAAGTGTGTGACGGCTTCTTCTCCACCTCTTCTTCCTCTTCCTCCTCCTCTATCTCTTCACCGACATCTTCCTCGTCTTCCACCTGAGTTACTTAGTACATACCTTGGTTATTTGGATTTTAGGCTTTAGGAGGGCCTTACCACTCTCGAGACGGATTCCAGAAAGCCAACTTGAGTCCAAGTTTCGTCGTCCAGCATGCATTCTAGTGACAGACCAATATCGTCCTGTTTGGAAACCATTCATTTATCGATTTTTGTAACTTGTTTAGCCAACAATGAGTTCCTTCCAGCTTACCCAGCAAATAGGAGTTCCTTCTTGAATTTCGACTGCGATCCCACCATCATCTCTAACCACTTGCACTTCAGCTTGCATTGTTACGTGCTCACTGGAGAAGTCAGCAACTGAATTTTCCGAGTTATAACTCTTCCTTGGGACCGCCCGAAGTAAAGGCCAGTGACTAGCTTCCCACTATGCCATCATTTAACGTACATAGTTCTTGTCCAATCAACTCTGGGGAGGTTTTTGGCCAGAAAAAGTTTTTGCAAGTTTTGCGTGAAAACTTGATTTCTGGTGCTAACTCACTGCTCTCTTTGGATACCATGAAGAAACTTTTTTAATATTGCCCTCAAAAACATAAAGTTATGTTTTCGAGGGCAATATTGTAATGTGAAAATATTATAATGTGCGATAACGGCACGAATAAAAGCATAGCAAAGAAAAAGTTTTCTTTGCTGCGCTTTTATTCGTGCCGTTATCGCACATTTTCCATCACACCCGCCTCAGGGGCGGGATTTGAAGGTAGGGTGGGGTTTGTAAAGGTGAAGGGGGACGCCGGGATGTTATTGATTTACCGGCGGGCAAACCTGACCATTTTTTTGTGGAATGTGCGAAGAACTATACCACATTTCAAAGGAAACAAAATATTGTTGTGCACTATCTTACAAGAATACATCTCTTCAACCAGCATGTGGGGCAACTAATAAAAGTTCCACCAGTTCCCGCCTCCGAACCTGCTACACAGATGAGTCCCGCTATTTCTCGAGAACCATTCAATCCTTACCAGATAGATTTGGAAGGTGAAAGCAGAAGTTGGAATTCTTCCAAACCCGCCCTCAATTATATGATCAGGTTCCTATTCAAATAGCGTTGATACGCGTAAATTCGAGGTGATTTAGTGACATGTGGCGCACTATACCATACGCACGGTCACGGGTTCGATTCTCGGCTCGCGATTCGCCTAGGCCAAGCAAGCCTTTATTCCGAGGTCGGTCAATTGGTACCAGACTCGCCTGGGAGTATAAAAGCGCTGACTTGTACATTAGCTGTCGACCGCAAGTCACAGTCAGTATAGTTCACACACATTCAACACGCCACTACGATTTTGAATTGAAGTCGAATGCAAGGCGCATCCCTAGGACGGTATTGACTAACTATAAAAAACTCTAAAGCTTTTATAAGTAAAAAATTAGGCCAAATGAGTGGCTCATACTAAAAACTGATTAATTAA